ATTATTATTATTATTATTATTATTATTATTATTATTATGCTGGTGCTCACCTGAATGAGCTCCAACATGGCGGACAGAAACCAACAGAAACACCGAGTTTTGCTACAAGAGCTTGAATTTATTCTTCGAGAAACTCATAAACATTAAAGCAATACTTCTTCTAATACACGAACTGTTTAGATAGCAAGATTTCCTGAAATAAGTCATGTTTTAAACCTTCATGACAGCTCTCTTGGCCGTCATGTAAATGCCGCGTCACGCAAAAGCTTAGAAATTCAGCGTACTCTATCACAAAACCAAGAACCCTTTTGAAGCGAAAATTTGTATGAAAATCAGTTTTCAGCTGCTCTAATACATCGTGAAAGTAAAATCTCGGTACGAGGGATAGTTTTTTAGTTTGAATTTTTGTGACGTCATCTAAAAACCAACAATACCGAAAGCAATTGTGGAATTGCACACATTTCAGGCATCCTACTGACAGCCATCTTCCGCAAGTCCAACGTTTCGGTTTTCCAGGCAAACATCATCATTAGATTGGCCTTGAGTTTAGTTGCTGCCTAACAAGCACCATAAACATTTTTATCCATTCTTTTAGTAGTTTTCCGCAAGTCCAACGTTTCGGTTTTCCAGGCAAACATCATCATTAGATTGGCTTTGAGTTTAGTTGCTGCCTAACAAGCACCATAAACATTTTTATCCATTCTTTTAGTAGTTTTATTTTAATATTCTGTAAGCAACGGGGTCCTATTATGAAACTTGTACCAAGGGACAAAGTTTAGTTGCAGAAAAGGAACAAGAGGAAGTATAAAATGAGGTAAAAGTCGTGTAGACCAACCATATGAACATGAGAGCTTGATTGTGTAATATTTTGTTTTGTTTACGATCGAACGGGTAAACCTGCGATCATCTTATCTATCTCTGCCAATACAGAGAAACTGGAATACACGGAAAGGAAAAAGGAAAGTAGGTTTTGCTGTTTTAGTCTTAGTCTGCATTTTGTGCTCGATCTGCAGTCTGCTAGCCTGTGAACAGTAGACGCATTTCCGGTCGTCGCTTCCCTCCCTCCGGAAATGCGTCTGCTGTTCGCAGGCTAGCAGTCTGCAGTCTGCCAACCTCGCACCCAGGGTCCTCAGACTCTTTGGTCAGTTAAAAGCCCGATGACTCTGGGTACGATATTGGCAGTCTGCATTTTATACCCGCACTGCAGTCTGTAGTCTGCGTCTTATACTGATCGATTTGTTTGTTTGTTTGTTTGTTTTTTTTCTCTCAGTATTCCTGCTGTAAGGATCAGTTTGTTGTGTTTCTACTAAGTAACCACGTAACCACCCACTCAACATTCTTTCGCTGACCGGAAAGCCCGCGGGCTCTTGGTATGAGACTGTTCCTGACCGAATAGAGAGGAGAAGTCGTTACGTCACGTTGCCATGGTAGCAAAAATTCTGGATGACAACAAACCGAAAACGTCACTTAAAAAGTGAATTCGCACGGTTTCAAATTTCGTCGATTTTATCCAATTTCATTTAATTTGTTAAAGATTGGCGACATTTCCGGGGTTAAATCCGAAATGATGGTAATATATAAGTTTACGAAAAGGAAAAGAAAATGTTTAAGTTGTGTTCACCTGCTCCATAAAGCGGGGGCGTGAAATTAGGAAATTTCATGTCGCAGTCGTGCAACGACGGCAAGGAAATGTACATAAAAAGCGTGCAAAGTTGTTGTTTTGCTAATCTAAAGCTATTACTTTTTTGCCATTCTCGTTTCCGTCGCCATCGTCTTTGCTAAATTAATAAGGGGCCGTCCATTTAACTCTTGGGGGGGGGGGGGTGGGTGATTTTGAGAAAAAAATTTTCTGCAGGCGCTTGTCGGAAGAAAAAATTGCATGCAGCACAAATGTCATAGAAGGCTTATGGGAAAAAAGGGAAAAAAATATCCTGCCCACCGGATTGCTAGAAAAAAAAATCTTGATGACCAGAAATCAACCCCCCCACCCCCCCCCCCCTCTCAAGAGTTAAATGGTCGGCCCATAAGCTCCCTATTGTTGTCATCCAAAATTTTGCTACCATGGTAACGTGACGTTACGCGTCTCGTCTCTATACCAAGGAGCAATTAAGAAAGGGATAAACCTCAGTTCATCTTCCTTTGAGTTTAAAGAGTCAACTGTCGTTAACTGAGCTGTGATTAGGTTAGTTGTAAGGGGAAATTCAACCTTTTTCATTGAAAGATATGTATAGCTGTTCTTTATTTTTTTTCCTTCGTAGACTATTATTATCTCGCTGGGCAAGTCACGCGATTCACAAGGAATTTGCGGAGGTTGGTATTTTAGTAATTATATCTTGTACGAACATTAATTCTCCGAGAACACTTTCACGGTTGGACTCAAAATATTCTAGTGGGAGCTCTGACCAGGGAAGGAAGTTTAAATAGGGAGTGATCGGTGGTTATACAATGCGTTTGTCTGTTGTAACTCCATGAATTGACGTTCGAGGTTGACCTCCCATTGTTCAGGAAGTTAGCCAATTCTTCTGAAGAACTGCTCAGTTCTGCTCCTGAGCGGCAGAAAATAAAATACAATATAAACAACCAAGTCGAATATTTACTACTCTAAATTAAGCACCTTCATTCTCGAGCATGGTCAAAATAGACCTTGTCACGGTTTTCGACGCCATCTTGACGAGTAGGCAAACGCGCGAGAAATTACAGTGTTTGTATGAGTATCTAATGTCGAATAATTTCCATAAAACGGCTGTTCTGAAAAAAAAATATGACTTGTAAACTAAAGTTACAAAGCAAAGGATTGTCCTAAACAATTTTGGGGGCGTACCTGTGCTTAAATTTCTCCAGAGGCTTGCTTTAGATTTTTCATATATTTGTCTGTAATTTTCCCGGGACTTTCTTACAGACAAATGTATAGAAAATGTAAAAACGTCGTTCTGGGTGTTCTAGTGCATTTAACGCCCTTAATTTTTTTCAGTAGAATCCTTAGGAGCGAAGCTTTAGTTTACAAATCATATTTTTTTCAGAAGAGCCGTTTTACGGAAATTATTCGACATTAGATTCTTATACAAACACTGTAAT